CCCCCAGCCTCCCCAGTGCCCGTGGGCATGGTGGCCCGTCCCCAAGCTCCTGTGGCTGGAGGACGCCAGGCTCCTGCAGCCTACTGGGGACGTGCTTGGACCATGGTGGTGGAGACCTTGTCCTGCTCCCCCTGTGCCGATTGGGACTGGAGGGCTGTGAGCTGCTCTGGATGGTCCCCATCCCCTGGATGGCCACTGCAAGCCAGAGCCTGGATGCTGCTGGACCCGGTGCTGAGAGGGCTTGTGAGGGTTGCTTGCCCATAGCCACATGCCGAAGCCGAGCTGGCAGCCCTGCGTGCGTGCCCTTGGAGCCACTGGCTGGGTGCTCACATTGCTGCCAGTGCAGCGGCGCCTCGCTGGTCGCACCCCTCGAGCAGGCGTTGGCGCAGTGGGTCACCAGCCGCTCTCCATCTTGGAGAGGGCACTGGAAAACAGCCAGCCTCAGCAGCGTTTTGCTGCAGTCCTCCACGCCTGGCCCTTGGGACCGGGGAGGAGCTCTGCCCCCTCACCTCGCTCTCCTCCAGCGCGCCGTGCCCTCGCCCCGCCGCAACATGGCGCCTGGCTCGCTCTGCCACCCACTAGGGCCGGGCGGTCCCCATGCACCAGCTGTCTTGGGGCCATCGCGCCCGCTGGTCTTCAACCCCAGTGTAGGGACCCGGGTAATGGGGTGGAATGGATTGGCAGGCGGCGGCCGGAGCGTTTCTCCCCACTGCATGGAGCGAGGCTTAGGGTGACGCAATGGGACGTGGCTGGGATGCTCCTGTTGATGCATCCTAGCCTCGCCGGGTGGCATTGGTATGGATGGGTAGAGAGATGGAGCACCTGGGGCCCTGCGCCGGTTCCCTGGTGTGGGGATGTTTGGTACCAGGGGGTTTTGCAGGGTCTGCATGCGGAAGGCTCAATGCGGCTCCTCGATCCAATTATTCACTGGCGTGCAAAGCTCCCTGGAGATCGATGCCACTTGGCGGTGCCTCATGGGTGGTGGCCGGGTGAGCCCTTGGGTGCTGGGGCAGAGCCGGCCTGTTCCCCGCTGGTGTTTTGGTGAAGTGGGTGCGAGAAGCTCTTGCGTTTTGGAGGCCTGGAAATCCCAACCCTTTGGGGAAGCCTGGTCCTTCCTTGGGGTGGTGCTTGGTGGCTGGAAAAAAACAAGAGATAAAGATTCCATCCCTGGGAAACGGGGCCAGGTTGAATAGGAAGCAACCCCCGCTTCCATCGTGCCCGCTGGTGTTTTGGTGAAGTGGGTGCGAGAAGCTCTTGCGTTTTGGAGGCCTGGAAATCCCAACCCTTTGGGGAAGCCCGGTCCTTCCTTGGGGTGGTGCTTGGTGGCTGGAAAAAACAAGAGATAAAGATTCCATCCCTGGGAAACGGGGCCAGGGTTGAATAGAAGCAACCCCCGCTCTCCATCGTGCCACGTGTGGGGAGGGAGATGGTCTAGTCTACTCTGCTAGGTGGTCTGCAGCCTCACCAGCTGCAATTGTCACCTGGCACCCAGAGGTGCAGCAAAGGACTGACCACCCGGGAGGTGGCTGAGGATGCTTGGGAGGTGGTGGGCTGGGACTGGTGGGGAGATGTCCCCTTCCCTGGTGGGGTTGCTGTTGGAAAGCCTTCTCTGCGCCAGGATCCATCACAAATGATGCTGTGGGTGATGAGCTGCAGGTTGGCCTCCGTGGTGGCTGCTCTGAGCCCACAGGGGCCTTCTGAACGCTTGTTTTTCCTGTGTGTCCTCCTGCCTGACCAGGAGCCGTTCCTCACTGCAGCAGAAGCTAATGGTGGCACAAGGAGTGACTTTGTGCTCCTCGGGGTCCCAGCATGGTCTGGGGAGCTTAATCCCACATCCCACCCAAATTCTTGCCCAAAAGCTCCCCTCGATACAGGAGCGATAAATACGTTCAGTGCAAAGTTGAATCCTTTGGTCCCAACGTGTGCAGGAGGGTGTGCTGGAATATCTTCCCACACTGCGTGGATAACGCTGCCAGACCCTGGCGCTGCCGACACTCCTCCATTTCCCCCTCCCGTGAGCCTCCTCCGACGCCTCCTCGCGCATTCGCAGAAGGGTGCGGGGTGCCCCCAGATACAGCAGGGCAAAAGCTCCCAAATTCAGCCTTTCCCTTTTATCTTATCTGCAAGCCCCTGGATCTC